GTCCAGGGATGACGAAGAGGGGAGAAAAGCGACCACTTGCATACAGCCGCGCTCTCGCCCTCTCCATCCCCGGCAGATTTGGGGCGTCGAGGTGTTGGGTGCAGGTGCTCCGCCCTGGGGTACCTGATGTAGCGCTGTCAGCCCGTCTACGTTGGCCGTGTTAAGGCGGGCTCCGCGGGCCAGCAGGCGCTTCACCTCCTCGGTGTCTCCGCTGGAGCAGGCGGCCAGAAAGACGGCGCCGTCCTCGAAGCGCACACGGCCCCCACCGCGGTGCCGGCTCCGGGCGGGAGTCACCGGCTCCAGTTCGGTCAAGGAGCCTTTCCAGCGCTTCAGCTGCTCCGCCCGACGCAGCCTCGCCGATTCGGCCCGCTTTATCCCCAGGTGGCCCGGCTCCGACATGGTGGCGATAGCGGCAATGACAGCCGACCCTCCCCGTCGGTCTCAGGAGCGCTAGGAGCGCGCTGACTGCCTCAGCCCGCTGGAGAGCGCGACAGCCCGACCGCCATCTTCCCAACTCCCCCGCCCCCTCCCCGGAGTTACTGTGGCGCGAGCGCAGAGTTCAGCTTAAAGGATCATGGGAAAAGTAGTTCGAAGGGACTTCGTTGAGTGGGCGTCCCAGGGAGGAAGATTGGTCTTCCAAGGATGTCTTCTCTCCCTGGAGTCGGAATTAAGAGAGAAGTGTCATAAGCCAACCGTTTTGCTGACGCGAAAAACAAGTTATTGTGATTATTTACCGCTTTCAATAAGCACGTTTGAACATTTTCCCCAGCAGCAGGTGGGTAATTCTTGCATACCTTAAGGCAGTGTTTCTTAAACTTTTTTGCTCTCAGCACCCTTCTCACTTTTAAAAACCTTGAGAACTCCAAAAGAGCGTTGTGTGCATTATAATCACTAATGTTTAACATATTAAAAATTAAAATTGATGCATTTGTGGAATATGCATTTATTGAATCACAAAAATAAGCATATTAAAGTAAACTCATTTGATATTAACAGAAATATGTTGGTCATTTAAAAATACACATTTGTAGCAATAAAAATAATGAGAAGAGTGACATTGATTTAAATTTTTGTAAATACTTTTAATATCTGGCAAATAATATATAACTTGATTGAGGTTACACCACACCTGACCTCTTAATATAAGGTGACCATCCGTCCTCCTTTAGGGAGGACAGTTCTCCTTTTGTGAATTCTGTCCTCCCTCGAAAAGTGTCCTCCTACATGTCCTCCTTTTCGATATTTGAAGACTTATCTGCAGGATTTTTTTTTTCTCATAGAACGCTCAGAACGGCGTTCTGGCACCTTTTTTTGATGTTTTTTTTTTCAAATTTTGCATGAACTGTGCTACTCCCACTATTGGCTTTCGAAAGCCAATAGGAATTGCTGCTGAGCACGCCAAAACACCCGGCCGACAAACTTTGCACATGTAAGTTGTCTGCAGCGAAGGCGAATTGGCAGGAACTTTGCACCCCTCCCTGCTACCCAACTACACCATCTCCTAGTTAGTCCCGAAGATACCTGGAGGAGACTGGAGCAGTGATGCCACGGTAACTTTCTCTTGATCTTTGGCCCTGCTAGGGCAATAATGGCTGCGGGCGCAAGAGGCAGGGGCAGCAGGGCTGCTGCGGGCGAGGGTATGAGGGACGGTGGTGGCTGCTCCCATGCTGTGGGAGCCGCGGGGCCTGCTCTACACAGGGCTGCGCAGGGTGGGTGGTGGTGCTGGCGGGGCGGCTGCAGGCGGGGTGTGTTGATGGCAGGCTGCCCCCGGGGCCGGAGCCGTCGCAGCTGGTGCTTTGGGAGCCGCGGGGCCCACTCTACACTGCGGGGCAGCAGTGCTGGCGGGGCAGCTGCAGACGGGGGCATGGCATGTAAGCATAATTACAATATAAAATGTTATTGTTACAAATGTTTTTTTATTATGCATTTATCATATTATAGTGTATTCTGTATTATTGTTGCAATGAATAAAATGTTTCTTTTATTTACAATATTTTTTTTTCAATTTATTTGTGTCCTCCTTTTCATTGTAAAAAAGTTGGTCACCTTACTTAATAGCATCCTTGGTACTACATTAAGAAAAGTAGTAGTCAATCCAAATTCAAATTACATTTCAACTAGATTAAATTTAAGTATAGTTAGTACAATTGCTTCCCAAATGTTTACTTAATAATTTCTCGCTTTTAGATAAAAATGCACAATTTGGTGACAGCTTTTGAACATCTCTGGGAGCCACATATAAAGCTTTCAGAGGTAAATGTAGCCTTGGAGTCTCAAGATTGAGCCCCTGTAAATTATCAGAATTAAATGGCAACAAGGAAGGTTTGAATTGATGGGCCGTTTCCACTGACTTAGAACACACATAGAATTAGCCAATTCACTTGTTCTTTATTCAGAATAGTATAGATTAATCTATGCAGTGTTTAAAATGAACATGGATCATAAATACAATAAAGAATGGAAAAATAAGAAGGAAGGTCACCTAGTTCAAAACCCTATTCAATGAAGGAATCCACTATTACAACATTATTCATTCATTCATTCCATTTATATGGCTGCCCATCTCAAACAGATAGTTCTGGGCAGGTACTATCATTCAGCCTCTGTTGAGACATTCCAGTGAAGAAGAATCTACTATCTTCCCAGATGGTCATTGGTGAGGAACTCTTGATTAGGAAATGTTTTCTGATTTCCAATTAAAATCTATTTCCTTATGGTTTAACACCCTTGTTTCTTGTCCTCCCAACTAGAATCTATCTGCCACATCTTCTTCATGACAGGCTTTCAGATACTTGAAGATAATTATAGCTAACAATGTCTCCAACTTTTTCTGATGAGTTTCCTTCCAATCCTTTTATCATTTTGGTTACTCCCTATTGGACATGCTCCAATTTATCAAATGTCTTGCTCAGAAAATTCGACCAATCCAGAAGAGAGAGAAATAAGTGCTTTTCTTGATGTTTACACTATAGTAGTCTTACTTATATTATGGTGTTGACTCAAATTCAGCTTTTGATCCACCAAGTTTACCTGAATCCTTTTCACATGTATATCTCCAGTATATCTCCCCTATATTTATGATTTTGTTGTTTTTCTGCCCAAATATAGAGTTGCATTTTTCCTGTTGAAATAAAACTTTCTGGTTTCTATCTATTTTTTCAACTTGCCAAGATCCTCCTAAATCCTGATACTGTCTTCTAAGTCGTATATAAAGAAATCTAAAGCTCTCTTTAGAGAGAAAACTAGAGAAAAATATGATTTGAGGAGTTCTGCTGTAATCCTGTTGCTATCATACTATCTTTGCTAGGAGAAAGACTACCTTCTCTTCTTCGTTTTAAAGTTGACATAATCCCCAAGCTCTCTTTCTTGCTTTTAGCTTAACTTGTGAACCTAAGTTGCTTTAGCATTTTAGATATTCTTGTAAAATGACGATCCTTTACTAACTGTAAGCCTCACCTTAGAGTTTCATCAGTAATTTAGAAAACTTGCTATTCTGGAAAGTTAAAAGAATGAGAATGTGTGCTTCAGCAATGTAGTTTTCACGTTAATTAACCTGTTTGTTTATTTAAATTCTTTTAATCTTGTTAGCGCCATCTTGTGGGTGAGGTAGCTCATAGCATTTTAGGCTTTATGTTAGAATAAAATAATTGATATAAAAAGTGTCTTCCTTTGAATTACCTGGTATCATTTATAGCAAACATTAATTTTATAAATATGTTAGAAAATTCCTAGAGCAAGACAGAGGAAGCCAATATACTGTAATGCTCTATGTTATATTTACAAATGTAGGCATTGCTATGGCTTTCATATATACTGACCACTGTGAAGCAACAGCTATGTATTTGTCTACTTCGGACAGGCATTATTACTCTTAACTCAGAAATTAGAATTGAAAGTGTTACGTTTTTTTCTTTGAATATCTTTGTTCAGCTATTATGTTGTTTCCAAGTTTTATCTGGAGCAGTCGTTGTGCTATAAAATGTGCAGTTCTTTTTTTTGAATTTTCTGATTGTTCACTATCATTCCTCTTGCTAATACAGTTTGTCAAATGGAGAATTTAGTTTTTCTACATGAGATTATTGTTCAACTTGTTTTGAATACTATTCTAAAATTAAGCTGTTATGTAAGGTAATGTCTAAGAACAACATTGCTGGCCTTTTATTTGCTGTTGCATGCATTATGGTATTCAAATAGAAAGTATGCAATTTTGAATATGTATCCACTACAATTAAAATATTGTGCTTTTAATAATTATCCTGTTGAACTTTTATTAATTTTTCACCAGGGCAAAACATGTCATTTCTGGGAGGGAGATTTGTGTCATCCTTTGGACATGTTGTTAACCAACTAGAAAATTCCCACCAACCAAACAAAAATATAATGGTAGAGCCTTCATCTTTACTTATCCAAGATGTCCAACATGTAGTGTTCATGTTGGATGATACAATAACGCACAAAACAATCTTTGCTCATGGTAATTTTATCATGGCCCTGATAAAACTGTATTTCAGTCATTCTAGGAAGTGTTTGATCTCCTGTTTTTTCTTTAATAATTTCAGCTGCAATAAGAAGATTCTCAGAATCTATGAGATAATACATGAGAAAGGAGTCTCCATCTAATCTCCATTTTTCAGAGTGTTTACCTATACAGACATATGCATGACAGTACAACGTGTCGAGTACTATTTTGTGTTGGAAGCACCATGGAATTAATGCCAAAACTACATTGAAGCAGCTGCTGTTTTAACAATGCAAACTTCTGTGAATATTTATGGTAACACCTTAAAATCTTCCTCCATTTCCATTTGTGTATAAGCCTTTGCTAGGCTTAGCAGAAATGTCTCCTTGAGCTTGTTTGGAGGTTCTAGCAGGGGAGCGCAGCTATCGTATACCCTTGACCAAAGATCGGTACACTCCTTCTATCTGGGATGGTCGTCCTCTTCCACCGAGCGAGCAGCTTCGGGAGGGACGCACATGGAGCGGTGAGGGAGGAAAGGGACACCCGCCTAGCCAGCCAGATCAGCCAAATCAACCCTGGCGATCAATGGGGTGACAGATGTCGCAGCCAGATCGCCCTCACATCCAAATGTCTCCAGTTCTAGGCAAGGGGCTATTGCTCATCCTGTAATAGTAAATTAATGATAACTTTAAAATTGCCATTGATCCTGGCAGTTTCATTCTTTTAGAACAGGGGTCTTCAAACTTGGTCCTTTTATGACTTGTGGACTTCAACTCCCAGGCATGCTGGCTGAGGAATTCTGGGAGTTGAAGTCCACAAGTCATAAAAGGGCCAAGTTTGAAGACCTGTTTTAGAACCAAGCAGCCAGGGATCTATTTAGTTTCTTGGAGAGAAAAAAAACCCTGGCTTCCATCCAAACCAACTCAGGCTCTACTTTTTT